ATAAAAAGACTGAAGTTCGTACCTCGGGGCAAAGCGATGATTCGCTGGTCTCTACGCTTCGTTGAAAGTTGCGTGATAGGCGTCACTCGAGGCGAAGTATTGGTGAACGTAAATACACAATGGTGTTTGGGCAGAGTATAGGACACTCAATAGTGAGTGAAAAATTGAAAATGTTCATTCGTTGGCCTATTTCATCAGAGCAATCAACGTAATTGTCGACCTATGGTTTTGCTATCTGACTTGTACCCAGACCATCGATTTCATGAATACTCTACTTTAAAGGTCTAATTTTTCCGATATGTATTCAATTAGCGTATCAGTTGTTTCGATACTGCTTGACTATGCTGAAAATCCAGGGTGACCAACGATAATCGACTCTCATATCATGCGTTTGGAAAGCTAACATGCTATCAATGAAATCTCGTAAAGATCAAAAGAATAAAGATTGTATTTTAAACAGCATTGGATCGACCTCGAAAACGACGTGGATAATTTCCGAGAACGATATCCAACGAAACCCAGAAAGAGCGAAATGAGAAAAGAATCATTCAAAATGCATTAACTCATTTGGGAGCGCGTCTGCCGGTCAAGGTTTGCACCTCCCCGCTTCCTCCACTCCATCCATCTGCATCTGGCCAGGCGAAGAAGTCCTCTCTGCGGCCTCGGTTGGGGCGGGGCGGGCGGGGCGGGGGCGGGGCGGGGCGGGGCGGGCGGGGCGGGGCGGGCGAGCGGTCATCGATCGGGGGCGGGGCGGGGCGGGGCGGGGGGGCGGGGCGCGGGGCGGGCGGGGCGGGGCGGCGTAGGCGAGGCGAGAGGTTGGGACGTCGAGAGGCCTCAAGATCTGGGGCGGGGCGGGGAGGGGTGGGGCGGAGCGGTCGGAGCGAGGCGGGGGGGGCGGGGCGGGGGCGGGCGCAGGGCGCGGCCGCGGGGGGGGGGCGCGGCGGGTGGCGGGCGGAGGTGCGGATCGAGAGGCCTCAGAATCTGGGGGCGGGGCGGGGAGGGGGCGGGGGGCGGGCGGAGCGGGGCGGGGCGGGAGCGGGTTCAGGCGCGGCGGGGCGGGCGCAGGGGGCGGGGCAGGGGCGGGGGGGCGGGGCGGGGCGCGGCGCGGAAGGCGGGCGGGGGAAGGGGAGGGCGGCGGGGCGGGGCAGGGGAGCAGGGGGGTAGGCGCAGGGCGGAGGCAGGGCGGGGCAGGGGCGGGGCGCGGCCGGGGCCGCGGCGGGGCGGTGGCGGGGCGGGGCGGGGCGAGTGCCGAAAAAGCCCTCCGGCGCTCCACGCTCTTTCGATTTACCAGCGGGGATTTGCTAAAGCCGGGCGTCCGCCCCGCCCAAACGAATTTTGGTGTCCGGCATGATTAGGTGCCTCCGGTGACTTTCCCCGCCCCGCCACAGCGCCCTCATTCACGATGTCGCGTCGCCGGCGCTTTTAAAGTAGTTGACTGAGCTTAAGTCGCACGACAAACGAGCGAATCGCGCGTTTGGGAGTTCTTTCGGGTTTGTCACGTAAATGAATATTCCCTTGAAAATATGCTAGCGTGCTTTTTGACGGAGACGAAAATGCAGTATAATTTCAAAGTGCAGCTTTCAATTTAATTTTCGAATCTAATCAGCGTGAGAGTAACCACCATTCTAGTACATTATATCATACAACAATATTTTTCCGTGAATGAAAACATCTGTTTTTTAAAATTTTCCCTAATGAAAACATCTGTTTTTAATGAATGTATGTAATGGTCTAAAAACCTATATTTCTATATTACTATAATTATTGACCATTCTTGGGTTTGACCTTTCTTTTCAATCATCAACTTCCTAAGTGAAACGTTTTTACGGGTTGGTCTGCTGACGAAGGGTTAAAAAACACGAACGATTACACAATTGGAAAGACACAAAGGAACTGAGAAGTTTGTTTTGTTCAAACGAAAGTTTCGAGTTTACTTTCAGTTCCGAATTTTTCGCGGACTCGACTCCTATTAAGCGTAGCTGTTCTGTAACAGTTTAAAATTGCTTTGTTTCCATACACTCTTACATCTGATAATGTGATTGCAAGTTCTTCCAAAACCCTTGGTATTTTTTGGATATATTTGTTTTTACATTTTATCCGTTGTCATGTTCCGTGAATTTCAGAGACGATAGAAATGGGTGTATAACACTGGGTAACATGTTTTTTCTTATTAACGATGATATAAGGATTTAGAACGTTTCAGTGATCATGAATTGAAATCTTTCTTTTTTCCAAATTGGCTCTGGTTTTTCAAGTGTGGGATTTTTCTCAAAGTCGTTGTGTTTTATGTATTTACTGTCTCTGTAGACACGAAAAATCAACCTATCTTTTTATTTGTAGTATTAGTTTGATTTGTTTTATTTTTTATTTATGTTTGTAAATATGTCCATCTCTGGTCATCTGTCTATGAACACACAAGCACCTAAACTATTTCTAGAATTTTTTCAAAATAAATATTACATAATCTAGCTCTACTCACTGCCCTGCGATTTTGAAAAAAAATTAAATTTTGGGCGTTCATCCCATTTACTCTTGATACTCATTAAATGTTTCCTCAAATATGGCTTAAATTTTCATTTCTCGCTACCGCTCACGCAGTAGAGAGAAAGTTATGTAATGCTGCGCGAAAAATCGGAGTATTTCCGGCAGAAAAACTCATATTTTAAGGCCCTGGTGACAAAAAAATTGGACAAATTCCGTTGATAATTGTTTTATTAAAAAATCCTCTTTCACGTGGTGTAGGCAAAATCCGTGTTTTGTGGGTCCTTTACACCAAAAAATCTACTGACGTTAAAACGTCCGTTTGACTGTCCGTACCTACTTCCGTGTGTAAATAACACTAGTGGCTAAATTGTTCAGCCTGTTTTCTCCAAAATTGATATTCTCCAATTGATCTGGCTGATGTCACATCCCCTCGAATTTGAAACCAATATTTAATGTTGGGGCTTCTTTACACAAAGCTTCAACAAAATGGCTCCATCGTTTTTAATTAAATTTTGCTTTTGGATAGTGTGAGGAAAGTTTAAGAGACTCGGGTATGTCTTATTTTTGTTAAAACTTTGATTTTCCAATAATTGCAAATATTCAAAATTTCCTCGGTGTCTTCCTACAACTTCAATTATGAAGATAACGGTTTTTCTCTGTGTTACCGTTATTGATTTTTTAAAAAATTATATTTGCTCTCCCCAATTCTTTCTTTAATGAATGACATGAACATATAGTAGTTTTCTCGTAATTTTAAGTAAATACAGGCAATTTTAAAAACAAAATTTTCTCAAAAACTGTTCCAATTATTTCTTTACAATTTTGGAAACACATAGTGCTCAATTCAATGAATAACATGACGTGAACGCCTTTTTGACGTATGTTTTTTGGTTGTCCAAAAACTGCATAAACGTAATTTTAATAAATCTCTCATGTCATTACCATTTACACAATGGGTGTTTTTAATGTATTATTATATTTGCGAGCCCTAGTGCTTCAAACAAGTGATTCTCAAATTGATAAAAAAGGTAAACGCTTTCTGGGAAAATTTGCTAAAAACTTGCACGTTTTCAGAAATGCTCGAAAGATAATTTCAAAAAATGACTTTCTCGCCTTTGCTTCGTAAGAAGAGAAGGTGTTGAAATCCTCTCACGTCGTTAATATTTGCGTGGAGCGTGTTATTCATTTGCATTTTTTAGTATAAGTGCTTCAAACTATTCCTTATGAATTTTCTCAAAAACTTCAGTATTTTCTGTAAAATCAGCGTATTTTTGCGTCTTTTCAAAAAGATGAAGAAACATTTTCTCAAATACGGCTCTGAATTTTTCAATAAAAGTTTGCACATAGGACCAGGTTTTACACTTCTAAAATATTAATGAAGTCCAATTTCATTTCTACTCTTAGCGGTCAGAAAAATGTGAAAAAATGTCATGTTGACTCCAACAGATGCTTCTGGCAACTGGAAAGAGTATTGAGCAAAACCGAAAAGCTACTACCATGTACCAGCGTACCATTCTTTTGCACAACTAATTATATAATATTTTTCATTAATTTTAACCAGTGTCACAGCTATGGTTCGAATCCCTTTATCTCACATTTCTCTTACTTTATATCATATGTAGTTTTTGTCTCAGTTGTTTTCGAAAATTATTTTCTATATGTACTCAAAACATGTGAATTAATCAGCTCGACAAACAAAAAATCAGCTTTACAAAATTAATTTATTAATTTACAAAATATTTTAAGGTTCTGCAACATTTGTATTACAAATCTAGGTGCATGTTGTATGTCTTCATTTCATTGAACTTTTCATTATAAAAATTAGTGAAAATCCTCAGTTCTTTATAGATCATGAACTTTTCGTTCTGTGTTCTACATATTTCTAATCTTAGTTTTTTATCACCGTGCATTGTAGTCAATTATTTAGATTTTTCATGTTCCAAATTATTCTTTTTTTATTTTAAACTTTGTTCAGGCAAGCCAGTCGAGTTAGCAACCTGAAATCAAAGATTAAAGAAGATACATTGCGTTCCTTTTCCGTTGATATATAGTATTATCTCCACAAAGTTTCGAAAGCTCGCTTTATCTTTCGTAAGGGAGCTCTCGAGGCTACTTCCCATCTCTACCACTGAATCTGCCTTTAATAGGTGTGTAAAGATTCTGAGTCAATACACCGGTGCAATCCTTATGAAAATATTTAATTTCCTGTAAACTTTTTTTGTAACTGAGGTACGGATATTAAAACGAATTATCCCCCTAAAGAACCCAATTACTGGAAAATAAATAATATCTTTTAACTTTCATTTTATTTCTGAGTGCCAACTTCTCCAACATTGTTCACTGTACGGTAAAACTAAGTATATATTTGACAGTTGTGAAATACAGAGACTAATCACAGGGTCTCCTGGTCGTGACGTCGTCAGCTATTGACCATTCTGATCGGTCGTTTCAAACACACGTCACCCCCCGTGCTCATTGCGAGCGGCTTGACGCGAGCGGCGGCGCTGTGCTTTCAGGTCAGGTGGGCAACGTGATCACCAACCGGAACGCCAACCGGCTGGAGTTCGAGCGCCTGCTGGACGGCGCCAAGACGTACATGCGCCACCACAAGGTGCCGGGCGGCATGAAACGCCGCGTACTGCGCTGGTACGACTACAGTTGGTCCAGGTGCGTCCCGCCGCGCCCCGAAGCGCCCCGCCTCGCCACGCCGCGCCCCTCCTCGCCTCACCCCGGCCTCTCCCCCGCCTCGCCCGCCTCGCCCCGCCTCGCCCGCCTCGCCCCCCCGCCTCGCCCCTCGCCCGCCTCCTCCCGCCTCGCCCCGCCGCCTCGCCCCGCCTCGCCCGCCTCGCCGCTCGCCCCGCCTCGCCCCGCCTCGCCCCGCTCGCCCCGCTCGCCCGCCTCGCCCGCCTCGCCCGCCTCGCCCGCCCTCGCCCCGCCCTCGCCCCGCCCTCGCCCCGCCTGCCGCCCGCCTCGCCCGCGCCTCGCCCCGCCTCGCCCCGCCTCGCCCCGCCTCGCCCCTCGCCCCGCCTCGCCCCGCCTCGCGCCCCGCTCGCCCGCTCCCCGCCCGCCGCCCGCCCGCTCGCCCGCTCGCCCCGCGCGCCCCTCCCGCCTCGCCCCGCCTCGCCCCGCCTCGCCCCGCCTCGCCCGCCTCGCCGCTCGCCCGCCTCGCCCCGCCTCGCCCGCCCTCGCCCGCTCGGCCCGTCCTCGCCCCGCTCGCCCGCCTCGCCCCGCTTCCCCGCCTGCCAAGCACGGCCTGCGCTACCACTTCGAAAATACTCGGGGGGTGTGTGGTCAACGTGGCCTCCGAGAACTGGCGTTAACCTAACGATGACACTCACCCATCAGAAATTTATGAGTAAAATACTTACCATGGAAAGTTACTTTTAGAGTTCTTTCATTTCCCCATCCCCCTGTTTACGGTCATTCTTCACATAGCATTTATCATCTTCTGTTCTCATTTGATTATAAACTCGGTGTAGATTGCAGATAATGGCTTATATAAAATCATAATGAATAAATAGTAGTTAAAACTTCCTTAAAATGATGTCAAAAGTATTAGAAGGCAATGATTTTCATAACTTATATTATTTTCTGGTAGACAGGACATAATATAAATTGTAACTGCCCTGAAGATGCGTTTCCAAAATACATGTCAAAATGCTGGATTTGATATTATGTAATTTTTGGAGACTTACAAAATTCCAGTTTGTAACTATGTTTGGTTCTAAAATAAACACTACACACTTTCCCTATCTAGTAAATAATTGTAGGAAACTTTTGTGTTTTGAGGCGCGAAAATTTTGACCAACATTATCTTCACTAATACATATCGTATGTATCGTTTATTTTCAAATTCAATCTTTAGTACAATAACTTCAATTTATACACACATGAATTATGATTTCTCTAGTATAAGTATATATAGTGTTTCTTCTTTTCCCTCCATTCCTTGCACATTTTGGTTCCAGTGTTCTCACTTCTCCCCTCGCATTTCCTTCGCTCACAAACGTAAAACAGGCGTTTGTTTAGGTAAGTTTTATCCTCCCACGGTCTCAGCAAGCTCTTCGAGAGGCATCCGTCTGCTTTGCCG